GAAGAATGCAATAAAAATAAAAAAGGAATGAGATTGCACTTATCCAAATCCTACAAATATGCTACGATTCCAGAATATTATGCAAGCACGACGTCAAGGAAAGGAAGTAAGGGTTCCTACCCGAGATTTTATTGATAAATAAGGAGCCAGTGCGAGTCGTAAGACAAAGGGAATAACCCAAGAGGGATTACGCGAAATATAGATATGAGAATTGACCAACGAGCAGTTAGTAGTTGATTTAGGAAGAGTCTAGTTATGTCTAGACAATAGGTTACAGATAAATCAACAAAATCGTGCAAGATAAACATATGGAACCCCAACATGGGAAATTCAGCCTTGCAGTTATGACATCGTGATCCTTGAGAAATATTCAGATAGGAGTTGGGTCGTTAAAAGGTGCAGTATAAGTGTTACGGAAATAAAAGAGAGTGCTATTGGGAACAGTAAAATTTAAGTTCAGAAGCAGCTCTACGAGCACAAAGGCATGGAGGTAAGTAAGTAAGGATAATTACAAGTAAGAAAGAACATCAAAAATTTCGTCGAGTGTACGATGTAATAAGCTCGCAGCTTTACAAGAGTCAGACGGTCCTCCCTAAGTACTACAATGAAAGACTAGCTGAAGAAGTAAGGAAGAAGGCTTCAACCTAAGCACAGTGACCTAAAAAGGAAATGGTGGTGTAACAAAAGTTTCACAACAACATTGTATGCACGCCATAAGAAAGTGGAACCTATCGTGGCTAATGAATGGGAAGAAAAAAAACAAATATCATACAAAATTAAATCAAAAGGTGATATTCACGATCATATGGGTTATATGGAATTCCAATATGTGTGGGCACTGAGATAAGCTAAGTATGCATGCAACAAGGGGCAGGAAGACCAGGAAAAGTAATTGCTTACGTTTGAAGAAAAATGAGATGAAACAAAGGAATTATTCGATAAATGATCCAGAGTTAGTTACGTTATGAACACTCACAGGATTCGGAGTATTATCCATGCAGCATATATGTTGACAATCATACAGCCGTAGAAGACTCCGTTATAAGTAAAAAGAAAGAATTGAGTCTAGGTCATAGACAAAGGATTGAATTTTTAAAAGATTGTATCATGAATATCCCATAGAACCCATGAAGGCTAAAGTAATAACTAATACCATGAGCTGCAGATCGGAAGATAGCCTAAGCCTACATAAAGGTTGATCAGAAGGAAGAGGAAACTAAAGCGTAACATTAATGAAGTAAATCAGGAGTCTAATTATTGGACCTAGAAAATTATAGACATCATGATTGAGAACATCGCAGAATCACTCTTAATATTAGAGGTACAAGAGAGATAGTACAATAGCCATATTTTATAACGGCTCTACGGTAAAGCCAGTTAGAAGAATACCAGCCTCATAAGAAGTCAGTGTGAAGCTCCTACTGGATTGTGTAAGCACCAGAGGTGCAAGTATTATAATAGAGCTTCAAGTTGTGGATGTGAATTATATCTATGTGGAAAGGAGGTCATGAGAGAGATACAAGACGTGGTGCGAGATTTTAAGGTAAAGGTCAACAACGTGCGAGAAACTCAGGTGCAGAAGGTTGTGAATAATCTATACTTCAGATAGAAGGCTAGAAGCGCGGGGATTCAGTATCCAGGAATGATAGCGTTGTCGTCAGTGGCATATCTTCCAGCCTATGGTTTCTAGGTATCGAGAGGTCTAATTAAGAGAGTAAAGAAGAGTTTGAGATAATGTGATGTCCCGCTTGATGTTCCACAATGATACAAAGAAATCTATGGTGCAAGCAAGTTGAAGGAAGGTTGCGAGTAGTATAAATGAATATGTGTAAATCGCAAGCTAAAGTATGGTAGAGCGACAAGATTTTAGAAAGACAAGAGTAAGGATAAGAAAAGGGCAAGTGAGAAGGTGACGAAAATGGAGAAGTCCTCAGGATTAAGCTCATAAAAACAAGAAGAACTGATGGTTTCTCTAAGTTATAGAAAGCTCAGTATATCCTGAATGAACTCAAAGGAATCTAAGACTAGTAGCATTTAAAAGAAATGGAATGCTGCCCTAGTAGTAGAATAAAGTTGTAATTGTGATAGATAAAGGATGATGTTTGGGCCTCCGATTGAGTAATGACTTGAAGAGGATTTCATAAATTTTACGGGATTAAAATACCCACATAAGGTGAATCACATTGGGATGCTATAAAATACGGTTATTGAAGTACATTATCGCCGCTAAGTGGATCAGGAAAATCACTTCAAATATTCCTCGATGCAACGTAAGCCCTAGTGGCGAGGTATTACATAAAAAATTTCAAGTTATCAGTGGTATATTATAGATCAATGTTGAGGCGAAAGTCACAAAGTATGAGATGAGATTAAGTCGTCATTCTTAAGATGAACAGTAATGAGGAAGCATTAAAGGACTTAGATATATACATATGGGATAATCAACAAGATTAAGCTGGAATTTGGTAGCAAACCTCGGCAACGATAAATCAAAGAAGAATAATGGTATAGTATGACCTACCTAGATGCAGTAAAGTCATGCGGATAGATAACCGGGTCTATGAAACAAGATATAGCAATATTCGTAAGCTCAACAAAGTACCAAGTAAAGAACTTTAGTATACCTACAAATGCCCAGAGGGACATTTTATCAAGCTCTGTATATGTTTGCAAAGTGAGGCCTAGAGATTGGCTAGAAGTTGGAGCAAAAAAATAAAGAAGAGTCGCATGGGCGCACTTACAAGGTCAGAGTCATACATGCTGCATGAAAGAAGGTAGAAACAATTACGAGATTAGAAAGATTTCAACCACAAGTCATGGTATGAGAAAGAGGACTAAAGGTGGGAATGCCTTGGCCTTTGGACTTATTCACAGAACAGTTGCCTAGATGGCAAGAGGATTACCAAAGTATTCGCAAGAGCTATGGGTTATGAGAATGATAAGTGCATCAGTCAACATTCGAGAACGAATGTTCCAAAGGGGGCAATGATGCTACACCCCATATTTTTGTACGTGAAAGTACGCCATAAATAAATTGATGAGAGCTCGTAAATGAGATGTTACATCCCGTATTTTTGTACGTTAAAGTTTCGTCGTAAGTTAATCGACATAAGCTTGGGAATGAGATTATTTTGGGATTATAAGTATAATGCTATTTCAAACAAGGGATAAGTAAATTCGTGAAGGTGAGAGGGTAAGCAAATTGAAAAAAATAAGTTTCGTCGAAGTTTGGCCATTTGGGATAAAATACGGTCCAATCTATATTACCCCGTATTTATGGACTAATGTCATACAAGTTACCATATGACCATGATAGTAGGATATATAAAGTGTGTTAAAAGTGACTAGTCTCTTAAGTAATTTGAGATAATTTTTAATAATGAGGATAATTGATTAATTGTGGGGATAATTATGGTATTAAGTGGATAAGGATTTTTTTGGGGTTGCCACATAGCATAAGCTAAGCCAAAGTGGCAAAATATGCAAAATGAGTCATAAGACATATGATGCCTTGTTTACACGTAAGAATTCTTGGATATGGCATGAAGATATGATGCCTTGATGAATTACCTTTGCTTGTTCTCTTTATTGGTAAGGTATAAGGATTTTCTAATTAAGCAAAATAACCTCCCTACATCATTAAAGGGAATGGAAATTCTTGCTAGAGATTACGGATGGAATTCTCCAAAAAGAATTCATGCGACCCTTTACAGTGCTATTGCAACGTGGATTATAAATTCTAAGGGAGCACGGTGCAATCTTTTTCTAGAATATCATACGGATTTTCCCCTACTTCGATCTGCCGTTACATGTTTTGCCGCAATTAACGTGTGTTAGAGGAATTGTCAAGAGAATCAGTTCAGGTATGTTAAGGATAAGCCCTTCCTTCATTTTGGCATGATCTCGTAATTACATGTGTTTGATAACGAGGCATAAAGAGAAGTTCGTATTCCTGAATTTATATACATTATCCTAGTCTCATAAGTTACAGTATTCTCCCTTATCGGGACTTTATATTCAATTGAGCATTGTCTTCTTCCAGTCAAGAGAGCATAGGGTCTATATATATATATATATATATATATATATATATATATATATATATATACAGTATTACAGTATTTCACCACCATCGAGTTATAATCGGTGGGCAGTTTCCTATTGGGCAACCTCTGATCGGATGGTAAGTTATATACCGAGTCTATTGTGGCTGAGCGCCTATGAGCGAGCCCAACATGGCCGAGATAAAGAGCCTAGTATGGCCGAACGCCTATGAGCGAGCCTACTACGGCAAAGCAGTTATATATACCGAGCCTTATAGGGCCGGAAAGCTATTTTACTCACTATATTGAGAGAGTTGAGTCAGTATCAGTAGGTAAGCATATCTTTAGATTATCTTTGACTCCCAGTTACTTTCAGATATTATATTATCAGTCTAGTTTTGGCGTTCAGTTATTTTATTGCCTTACATACTTGGTACATTATTTCTTACTGACCTCCCCTTTTCTGGGGACGCTGCATTTCATGCATGCAGGTCCTAATAAACAGCTGGATAGACCTTCCCAGTAGACAGAGTCAACATCAGCTCGGTTGGTAAGCTCCACTTCCTCAGAGTTACCAGGTCTATACCCTGGAGTCCATTTTATATATACATTTTTGATGGGTAGGTCGAGGCCCTGTCCTGACCATGGTACAGTTCAGTTATCTCTAGAGGCTTGTAGACGAGTCCTGTATATTTTGTTTATCAGTAGATGTTCATGGCGGCTTCGTTGTCCTGCACAGTTATTCATAGCAGCTTTTGGGTATGTTTACCCCACGGATAAGAGAGGCGTTATTTTTAGACGATTCAAAATATGGCCTCATCGGCCTAAGTTGTGGGTTGCCCCTCTAGAGTTCACGTTTACAGAGTGGTACGCTCGGGCCGAGTATGGCACCGAGTGCCAACCACGCCTCTTCAGGTTTGGGGCGTGGCAAATTTGGTACCAAGATGATAGGGATTTCTATATCCACGCACAATCGAGGATAACAAAGTCGGCAGGGAGGAGAAATTCCCCTACTTTCACAAGAACATCATCAACAATTCCCACTGGTCGCTTTATTGGACGGTCGGCCATTTCCAACCTCATACTTGTAGGCCTAGGCATACCTAATCCTGCTTGCTTGTAAATAGCAAGGGGCATTAAGTTGATGCTAGCCCCATTATTACAAAGGGCTCGTGCAAAATCGCGCAACCCAATAGTGTTTGGAATGGTAAAGGCTCCCGGGTCCTCTTTCTTTGGGGCGGTGGTTGTTGCGATGATGGAACTAACCCGGTGAGTCACATTAACCACTTTATTCTGGTGATTCATTTTTAGTGATCAAGTCCTTCAAGTACTTAGCAAAACCCGCTATCTCTTGAAATGCTTCTACAAATGGAATGCTCACCGATAATTGCTTGAGAATGTCATAGAACTTCTCGAGTTTGCTATTATCAACCTTCCTAGCATGTCTTTGAGGGAAAGGCAGCGGAGGCCTAGGAATTGGTGCTAGAGTTTTTGGCGCCTCTATTACCTTTTCCTTAACCTCTTCAGGGTTCACTTCTTGAGTTCTCACCTTCTTTGGGAGTCTTTCAACTTCAACAACAATTGGCACCTCAACTTGTGCCTCGACTTCTTGTTCGGAATCTTCCACTTCGACCACTTGTTCATTCTCTCCTCGAAGATTTTTACCACTTCAAGTTGTGATTGCCATACAATGAGAAGTTGGGCCACTCCCACTACCTTTTGGGTTTGCAATTGTATCACTTGGGGCGTGCCTTTTTGCTTTGGATTTTGCTCTCTTGAGAGATCTATGATTTGCATCTCCAACTTTTGAATAGATGCGGTATGAGATCCCACAAGCTCGGTCATGTTCTTTATTGAAGTGTCGGATCTATCTTGATTTTGCAATACTCGTTCAAGCATGTTTTCCAACTTGGACTCAATCGAAGAACTTTCTTTCCAATGTGGAGAGTTTAAATATTGCCCCTTTGGTGGAACATAGGGGTTGGAACTCCGACTTGAAAAATTGTTGTTGTTGTTGTTACTCCAATTTCCTTGATTTGAACTACCTTGTTCAATTCACCACTGTTGGTTGCCTTGCCCTTGCGGGTTAGGCCTCCATTGGTTTTGTTGTCCTGAACCTTGGTAGGGTTGCCTTTGATAACCTCCTTGAGAATTGTTGACATAATTTGCTTCCTCGTAATCCTCATTTGACATGGGTTGAACATCTTCCACCACATTCACCTTTTTTGTTTGGCTCTCAGTGAACATCTTCGTCAACACATTGACATTGGTGGCAAGCCCGGCAATCACTTGATCTCTTTCTTGGTTCTCCTTAATCATGTTGGTCAAAGAAGGAGTACCATATGCAATTCCACCCGCGGTGTCTTTCGAGTGCCAAGCATGGTTATGTTCTGCCATCTTGTCAAGGATTTGTGTGACCTTTGCAAATGTTTTATCCTTAAAGGATCCATCAGCTGCATTTTTTGACTATGGATTGATTCATTGGATCCAAGCCCATGTAAAACTTTTCCAATAAGATATTATCCGGAAAACCATGATTCGGCGACCTCACTAAATATAGCTTGAATCGATCCCATTCCTCATGTAGATGCTCTCCCGGAAATTGCTTGAAAAAGAAAATTTTATCCCGGAGCTCGGACTTCTTGCTCTGCGGAAACCATTTTGCTAGGAAAGCTCGGACAAGTTCGGGCCAAGTATGAATGGTGTAAGGCGGTCAATGTCAAATATAATAACCCAACTAGGTTGGGGTCGAATCCCACAGGGAATAGGTGTGAAAAGGTTACTTGAATAGTGTAAAACTTGACTTAAGTCGTAATCCTAATCCGTTATCTTGTTGTAATTGTGAATTATCAAAAGAACTATTTTGTTATGAGAATGTAATTAATTTAATTAAGGAAACCAAGGTTGTGTCCCCATCAGTGGATTGTAATGCTATCGATGTTTATATGATATTTCTAATAGAACGTTCTTTGATATGCAAATGGTTCCTAAATGACTACCCGATATTTCCCAATAACTAGGTAGTATTTTCTCTTTATGATTTTCCCAAATATAAAAGAGTTACAATTAAGAACAACCAATTTATGCCAAATAGAACCCACTTATTCCTAAGTGATTTTGTTAAACAAGGGTTAAAGCCTTGAGTTTTTGCTATTCCATTCTACCAAACCCTAACCCACTTTTCCAAGTAAAGATAGAGTGAATGGCATTAGTCAATGTTTGCAACCATGAATATTAAATGAAGCCTGATTAATGAATAAATACCAACCAACCATTATATATATATATATATATATATATATATNATAGTAAACACCTATTAATATTTCACCCATTTAGGGTCCACAACATTAGTATTTAAAAGTAGCTACTCATACTAGAATCCAAGAACAAAGCAATAAATAAAGTTATAAAGCTTACAAAGATGACAAGATTCTCTCTTCAAAAGCTTCCAAAATAATGGTGTATTCAATGCTCTAAGTGTAGCCTCTTTTTAAGACAAGATGTCTCACAAAAATCCTAGTTATTCTATTTATAATGGGCTAAAAGTCGAGGTCGAAATATTACAAAAATAACCCTGCAGATCACGTTTACGACCGCAGAACGGGTCGCATAATACTTTCGCGGCCCGCATAATTGCAATTTCCATCACATAATTGAGTGTCAAGTTGTCCTGTTGTTCATCGCACTTCTGTTATGCGGTCCGCACATTAATTTCGCGAACGCCTTTGATACCGCAAAATAATTCTCGTAGAAACTCTTTTTGCACTTCTGCGGTCATTATGCGGTTTGCAAAAGCGTTATGTGACCGCACAATAGACTGCACAATCCACTCTCAGAACTGGGGTAAATTGCTTCACTATGCGGTTGGTTTGCGGACCACACATCACTTTTGCGGTCGCAAACCTGCCGCATTTCTGCCCTTCTATGGGTTTTTGTCATCTTTTCTGTGTTCTTGGTTCTTCAAGTCTAGTTTTCTGCAAACACAAAAACTACATAAGAATTGACTTAAAATGTTTTTAAGAGATGAGCTAAAACCTATATAATTAGTATCAAAAGTGCCACAATTCTACTACATATCATAGCTCAGGGGCTAAGATGAATTCTTGTATTCTCGTGTAGCAGCATGATAAGTGCAGTGAGCGGCATGGGAATTTCAAAGTTGAGGATCAAGGTTGCGGTTCGGTGTTGACAAGAAGGTCACGAGCTTAGATGAGCATAGTAGCATTCAGATGTTAAGATCAAGATGGTATTTTCTTTAGTGTCACCTGAGGATGGTGTTCTATGGGAGAAGCATTGTGTATTGATTTGTGGATTGTGGTTTGCCTTACAAAATTAGTACGGTTGGTGGTATGGAGGCGCATATCGTGCCACCTATTGCGGAAGGTCGTGGGAGCATGCCCCACGAGGAAATTGTATAAGTGTGGCATGTTAGTCATTTGACTGTGAAAGATTAAAAAACAAGTATGGAGATTTTTGGTAATATCCCTAATGTGAGAGGTTTATGCCTGAAAGGCACTCTATTCATTTGGACGACTGCTCGTCTGTGTCATGAATAGGGCCATTGTGGATCCTTAAAATGATGTTAGCCCAATATAGTATGATCATAATCGACTTGAGGTCCTTTGGTGGGTTTAAGTGAATGTATGCGCTACGTCAGGTCGAATGTGTTCATTTAGCATAGCACTGTTTATGCAGGAGTCTTCGAGTATTGGATGTTATTCCTGTCGTCAGCTATTCTATGTAATACTATACTATGCCATGTGGGCTGTAAGACGGCTTGATTATTCACACATGTGTTGTGATCCCGTGTAGCTTGTGGTGTTGTATGAGTGAAATGGCTCTCAAGATGCAGGTCATTTATTGCACCTTAGTCGTGCTTGGGTTTTTGTTGCGTATGGCGCTGTCTGTCTCCCCAGAATTTTATTAAGCACTTGGCATGCTTGCGGCCGACATTCGGGCATTTTGTAGGTATAAGCATCGTGGCTTGATGGGTACTTCCCTATTTATTGTTTTGTTTGGATCGGGTGGCACGCCACCGCGGATATGTTGTGTGGATCGGGTTGCGCGCCGCAACGATATTGCATTCGGATCAGGTTGCAATCCTCAACGGTATCATGTGTGGATCGGGTTGCACACCGCAATAGTTAGATGATGAGTATGGTTCCCTATATCTATCCTTGTGTATTTTGTTTCCCACCCTCTGAGAAAGATTCATAGCATCCTTTCGGTCGTTCTATTCATTACGCGGGCTGCGTAATTCCCTATTAAAGTTTGATCTTCCTTATGAGTTATATTCGCGTGCTAGCTTATTGGAGCATTGATGGCGTCATATGAAATCCTGGGCAGCATTTGAGATGGCTTATTGCCTGCGAAGCTTGTACTGGGTGAGAGAAGATTATTGGACCTGAAATCAGTGCAATCAGATTTACATAAGGTATATTAAAGAGCAAATATCGTTATTCAGTTCAGAATGAGGTAATGGTCCTTCTCAGGAGGAGAGACTCCATGAATTGTTGATTTGGCAGGTGATCATGAGTTTCTACACATCTCTTCCGTCGTGGAAGTATTGCGAGAGTTGGAACAGGGCTATATGCATTATGAGGTGTATTACGAGCGTCAGATTCGTAAAATTCCAGCTATTGTGGTCGGAGGATGTTGTTATGGGCAACAGACTTATGTGGTGCATGGTATGATTTTAGAATAGGGGCATGATCATGTTTTGGTACTGTGTGTGGTGGTTGATACGGTGTGCGTATGTTAGAATCAGGTCTTGTAGAGAAATTCAGAGGTTGGAATTTGGTTCTAAGGCTTATTGATTACAGAAAAGGGGGGATCTTCAGTCTGGCTCGAGCTAATTTGCTCAACTAGATTGTGGTGGCACGGCTACGTGCACAAGGTGTTGAATAGTGATTTTTGGAGATCTCCGGAGCAGTCCTTAGCACGTTCGAGGATGAACGTATGTTTAAGTGGGGGAGAATGTAATGACCCGACTGGTCATTTTGAGCCCTAGCGTGTCGTTCGGAGGTTTAAGCCCGTAGCTTCATTTCATGTATTATGACTTTTACGCGTGGTCGGATTTGAATTTTGGGAGTTTCGGAGTTGATCCGGATGGAAAATTCTAAATTCAGGAGCTTTGAGTTGAAAGAGTTAACCGAGGCTTGACTTTTGAGCAAACAACCTTGCAATCGGTATTTGAAGATTCCAACAGGTTCGTATGATGATTTTGGACTTGGGCGTACATTCGGATCGGGTTTTGGATGACCCGGGAGCATTTCAGCACCTATTATGGAAGTTGGCATTTCGGAAGAATTTCATAAGTTTGGGTTGAAGTGGATTTCAATGTTATCAATGTCCGTTTGGGGTTCCGAGCCTTGCAATAGCTTTATTATGTCATTTATGACTCGTGTGCGAAATTTGAAGTCATAACGGTTTGATTTGATACGCTCCGGAACAATATATAGAATTTGTAAATTTATAGATTCGATTCGAGGCACGATTCATGATTTTGATGTTGTTTGGTGTGGTGTGAGGCTTCGACTAAGTTCGTATTGTACTTTGGGACATGTTGGTGTATTTGGTTAAGGTTCCGAGGGCCTCGGGTGGATTCCGGATGGTTAACGGATTGATTGCTGGACTTAAGGAAAAGTTGGAAATTTTTTGCTGCTAGTGCGATCGCAGAAGCGACATCGTAGAAGCAAGGAAGTGGATTGTAGAAGCGGCTGGAGGTGATCTGGGCAAAAGTCGCAGGTGCGAAGCAATTCCCGCACCTGCGTGATCGCAGATGCGGTGCCTGGAGCGCAGAAGTGGACAGGGGCTATTAGGCATGACTTCGCAGAAGCGTGGATTTCATCGCAGAAGCGGAAGGTCGTCTGGGCAGAGGTGTTCTTTTAAAAACGGGATTTGGCCCATTTTCTTTCATTCTCTCTTGATTTGGGCGATATTTGAAGAGCTTCAAGTGGAGGTTTTCATCATCTGTTGCAAGGTAAGTTATTCCCACCTATTGTGAGTTAAATGCACGGGTTCTATAAGGATTTATACGTGCAAATTTGTTGAAATTGTGGGATTTTTGTAGAAAACCTAGAATTTGGTATTTTGGAATTTAATCATGAAATTGGACATGGAAATTGGAATAAATTGTAAATTTGAGTTCGTGGAGTTATGGGTAAAGTTTATCTTTGAAAATTTTCGAAATCCGGTCACGTGAGCTCGAGGGTTGGCTTTATTGACTTTTCTAGTGGAGTTGGAAATTGTTATGAATTGATTTATAATGAGAATTAGAGTATATTTTTATTGGTTTGCACATTGTTTGACTAGTTTTGGATCGACGGGCATCGGTCTGAGGTGTTAGAGAGGCTTTGGAGCCGGTTATGGAACTTCGAAGCGAGGTAAGTCTC